GATATGATCCCGTCAATATCTATTCTTTGTTCCTCTCCCGCCTGCATCATCCACTGTAGAGAAGCATCATCCTACATGAGAGAAAACAATGGACCGGAAGGTTCTTCAATTAAAAACTGATACTAATGGATACATATCAACTGTAATACATCCAATAAACAGACTTCTTAGGGGGGGGGTCCAAAATTTGAAATTATGCGAGCCAAATATTGGTACGTAATGGTGACCAGTAGTGACGTAATGCGGGGGGGGGGGGGGGGGTTGCAGGGAGGGGCGAGTTTCCCCTCCCTCCTCCGGAAGCTTTGACGTTTCATTAAATTATTAGAGAAAGAAGACGATTCGTTGTACAGTTCTCAAAAAAAATCCTCGTCTGAATTCAGTTTTTTCAGATCCCAAGCAAAGCGCTGAAGCTTTTACGATTCATTAAATCATTAGAGAAGGAAGACGATTCATTATACAGTTCTCGACTCTTAATCCTTGTCTGAATTTCAAAGATGTTCTTTGATTACTCCTTTTTCTTTCCTCTCTTTTTTTTTGGGGGGGGGCAGTGACTTTTGGGGGACCGCACCCGCCCCCTGGCTACGGGCCTGCATTCAGATAAACACATTTTGATACCTTGTCCGACCCCGGAAGCTCAGGGGTTTAAGGCAATAAATTATGGTCAGATAAGCATTCAGGGGCCCGCCTTAGGGCCCTAGGTGGAATCCAGGGGGCAGAGCCCCCGGAAGCTTAGGGGTTTTAGGCATTTAATCACGGTCAGATGAGCAATTTTGATGCCTCATTATTTGTTGACACTGGCAGTTAACTATTCTTTCTTTCTTGCTCTCTTTCTTTTTTATTTCTCTTGAATATACTTTTTTTCTAAAGTGGGGGGGGGGGGGGGGGGGGGGGAGCTCGAGGCTCCCGATCCCCGACGTTCCCGGGCCCTGACATGTAGGAATCTCAAGAATCATATTTCTTGCCTGGCTGTAAATTTAGGAATTTGTTATTTTCCAACAAACGCATACAAAAGTGAGGAAAAATCTTGGAAATATGTCATTTCAGCATTATTTTTTATCCACCTTTGGAATAAAAAATAAACCACGTTTGAATCCCCTTTTCTTTTCTTCTTCCTCTTCTTTCTTTCCCTTTCTCTCCTCTTTCCCTTTCCCTTTCCCTTCTTTTCCTTTCTTCTCTCTTTTTTTTTTCGCGGGGGGGGGGGGGGGGGGGCAAGGCCTTTTGATTGAATTAATAGGTGGTCGTTTAATATTAGTGTGCTAAATAACCTGATAACTTTACCTGCATGGGACTTTCTGCGTCATCTTGCAAATATAAGAGATGTTGTTATGTCCTCCTTCCAGCTCTTCAGTTTCAATCTTTTGGAACAAAAAGAAAAAAAAATCAATACGACAATGAAGGAATCCCTTTCTCCTTAACAAAATAAAATAGATCAAGCATAATACAAATTAATAGCTATTTTTTATGTCATGGTTGCCCTTAATTTTAATATGGTGTGGAAATCAACATTCCTATTTAATGAACCACAGTACAAAGTAAAAATAAATGGAAGATATTTAACTTGTGCCTCGAACAGTGGTATCTATGGCCTATAGTATGAACATGAAGTAGTACTAAGTAGAATTAGTTTATAACAAGAGGTGGACTACATACCATATAAGAAAACATAATTGTCGACTAGCCTAGGGGTCTTCTCTTATACAACGTCCAACAAAAATAGATTTATCAAATGAACTGCACACTTTGGAGAAAAAAATCTTGAATAGGTCTAGTTCTATACGAGTTATGACAACTTGACAAGCACGCGCTGGACACACACAGCATCTAATTAACATTAAATAAATGAATCCTAGACTACTTTTGTTTGTTTTTCTTTGAATATTTTTATTAATAAGTTCCAGGTTTACATCTAAATGAAATAGGGTTTGGAGTCGTTTGATTATCCATGGTCATAAACAATTTTGGTCTAAAAGTTAACATGCACCAATGATGCAACTGAGCGAAATATGGCACTGAGTATAGACCCTAGAGGTCTATAGCCAATTACAGAGTCCACATCTACTAAAGATATAAACAAGAATGAACCCTCTTGGATTATTAAAAGAATTCATACTTCATAGATTATTTTAAGGTGTAACGTTAAATCTAGATTTAAATTCAATCGATGATTTTTGAATTATATTCACGATGACGATCAAATTTGGAATAAAACCTGATTAGAAAGTGTTATCTTGATGCAGATGAGCACCGAAATTCCCCGGGGTGGGCCTGCCGGAACCCCTGGGCTCTAACTGGAGTACTAAGGTGACATGACGGCAAACCGCAGTCAAACTACTTCACGACGATGAAAATCAAAGTGCAATTTCGAGAGAAATATTTTCCTAGCCTTTTCCCCAAAAATCTGTTGAGAACAGTCTCAAAATGTAAAGAAATTACCGTAAATCACGAGTTACAGCTTTATTAAAATTAATTACTAAATTCACTCAATCAATTACTCACCCATTCTCCATTCTCCGTGAACTAAATCTTCTCACTTTGTGCGAGTAGCGTCGTGCATGAATCAGCTGCGATTGCGACCTCAACAACATGCACAGCATGCATATTTCCCACCTCGATAACATGAATATTCAAGATATCGAGACTTTCCCCGACCCTGCGTAATGAATATTCATGAAATAATAGGAATCCGGGCTCGCCGTGGTACGAAAAAATAAGACACGAGTTTCAATATCGATTATACCATGAACCGTTTACAACAGTAGATGGCGCTAGTATACAACAACATGAGCTGGTTTAAATACAGACAGCTTGGAACTAATAATTGATTTATTAATTACTGTTTAATTCACTAAAAAAAAAAAAAAAACTATTTCAGCGGTGGAGATTGGTTAAAGATATTCCTATAGCATCTTGTTATAACATCAAAGAGTTTCAGATGAATTAGATATTTTTACCAACACTTTGTAATCATAAAAATTGCAATTTGCGAACTACACATTTGATCCACCTTTAAAATACTAAACTGTTGAAATAAAGGGGTTGTGTGGGCAAGAGGTTGTGAATTGCAAATAACTCGTATTGCATACTTCTGGAGTACTCCAATTCTATTTCTAAGATACATTGCACTGTTCCCCCATACAATATTGCAATATGATAAATAAGGTAAAATCATTGTGTAATACAGGGTTAAAAGAATCCTCATTGGAACAACAGTTTTTAACTAGGGCTGCAACGTGTAGTCGAATGCTCGAGTACCCGCACAGTTGAGAACTACTCGGGTATGATTTTTAGTACCCGAATATTCGGCCGCAAAAAAAAAAAAAAAAAAAAAATCTGTCCAGGCTGACGCTTACCCGTGACTGGGTGAGCGGCGGCCGCTGGCATGGTGCCGTCGGTAAAAATGCTTCCCAACTCAAGCACTGTCAAACTCACCACTCAGAAACTGGGACCAAATGTCTGGATTTCTGTTTGGACTTGGAGGAAAATGGATTATTCTGCCATCTTTGGTTTTTAAAACACCATTGTTTACTGTTATTATTATTATTAAATCGGCGCCTTCAACTGCAACTCAAAGTAAAATTGCGTGCGTTTTCGGCGACGTGAGATACTGCCCCAGTGGTATGGTGGTGGCAAAAAAAAAAAAAAAAAAATCAAAAAAATTCAAAAAAATTCAAAAAAATTATAAAAAAATGGCGTCCGAATACTCAAGTATTCGCTTGTAAGCCTGGGAATGTACTCGGGTACCTCATTACACTGTTGTGCACAGCCTTATTTTTAATCTATTCATTTCCCCTACGGCTTGAGAAATTTTTGAACAAACGTCATCAATATGTAATTTCTATGTTATTTTATCATCAATTGTAACTCCTAAAATTTTTGTTTGTTTAACTTGTTGTATTAAGCAATCTCCAATAAATATTTGTATTAAGTCTTCATTAACGAACTTATTTTTAGGGCTACCAGCATTTGCCGCATATTGTTTGCTAACTTCATTTGTTTAAAGTGTGGTATTTGATGTAAAATGTTATTTAAGTTGGTGCTAGAATTTCTAGCACCCTTTATGCAGAGCTGCCAACTAGTACGGATTTTCCGTAATTGGTACGGAAATTAACGACCATTACGGAATGTTGTCTCAAATTACGGATTTAAAAAAAATTTTTTTTTTTTTTTTTTTTTTTTTTTTTTTTTTTTTTTTTTAATGAATAAATATGATTTATCGTAGCGAGTGCTGTGAATAGGAGCCATTTTTCATGATAAACTGTGTTGTGATGACCTGAAATTCAATACTTAACATCTTTGTGTGAGTAAAATCACCAAAAATTTCAGATAATCATGCGTCCGCGCAGTGTTGGCGTGTCGTTTTTTTAGATTCATAGCGCCGCATAAGAAATTACTGATTATACCCCAAATTACTGATTTTGAGCCTTGTGATTACTGATTTTCTGTTCTGGAGGTGGCAGCTCTGTTTATGACCACAAATTGAGAGTATTGTCTTTACCTTAGCTGTTGGTGAGGTGTCGTGATTCTTACCTTTTTACCATAATCTGAATCTTCTCCCCCTCTCCCCTCCTCCTCCTCCCCTCCCCTCCCTCCCCGCCCCCTCCCCTCCCTCCCCGCCCCCTTTCCATCTCTCTCTCTCAACTCTCCCTCCTCTGTCTGTCTGTCTCTCTCCCTCTCCTTCCCCGTCCTTCCCCCTCCTTCCCCCTTTCTCTTCCTTCCCCTTTCTCTCTCACTCTCTTCTCTCTCTCTCTCTCTCTCTCTCTTTCTCCCTTCCCCTACTCTCCTCCCTCTCTCCCTTCTCTCTCACTCTCCCTCTCTATCTTGCTCTCTCTCTCTCTCTCTATCCAGCCTCTCCACTTCCCCCTCTCTCTCTCTCTCTCTAGCCTCTCCTCCCCATCTCCCCTCTCTCACTCTCCCTCCTCTCTCTCTTACTCTCCCTCTCCTTCCTCCCCCTTTCTCACTCTCACTCACTCGTTTCTCTTTTCTCTCTTTATCCAGTACAGGCCAAGCTGCAGAGGAAGAAACAGCTGAAGGTGGAGAAAGCTAAGGTCATTGAGGTCAAGGTCAACATGTGGATTGAGGAAAGAACAACTAAGGAGCAGGAATCGAGAAAAGCCAACTGGAGGCTAGAGAAGACAAAGAAACAACTTGAAGCAGAAGAGAAGAGGGGAGTCCAGGAGAAAGCAAAGGTGAGTGTTAAAGGGGAAGTCCACCCTGATATTAAGTTGCATTTAATAAAAGCAGGAAAATGAGAGAAACAGGTCAGTGAAAGTTTGAGCAAAAACCGACTAGAAATAAGAAAGTTATATATTTTCAAAGTTGTCATCATTGAAACACAAATTGGCAACACTGTGACATATCTTGCAAGCTCCTCTCCAATTTCATAAACTTTCGTTTTCTTACTGATTGGTTATGGAAAATGTGATTCATACAGGGGTTGTATAAAAACATCTTTGAAATAATTGTATCCCCGGCAGTATGCCGGCGGGTACTTTGGATTCAGCAGCGTTATGCCACCGCGTCATATTATTTTATTCTTGTGTGCGCTCTAACTGCCACATTCCTTGACGGATTTCTTTCAAATTTTGTATGGAGGTGTATCGTGGTATAATCTACACACCTATAACTTTTGGTGATGCTGCCCCTAGTGTTCTGTCTTTTATAGGGTAAAAGGCCATATTTTATTCTTGTGTGCGCTCTTACTGCATCATTCCTTGACGGATTTCTTTCAAATTTTGTATGGAGGTGTATCTTGGTATAATCTACACACCTATAACTTTTGGTGATGCTGCCCCCAGTGTTCCATCTTTTACAGGGTAAAAGGCCATATTTTATTCTTGTGTGCGCTCTAACTGCATCATTCCTTGACGGATTTCTTTCAAATTTTGTATCGAGGTGTATCTTTGGATAATCTAGACACCTATAACTTTTGGTGATGCTGCCCCCAGTGTTCCGACTTCTTTAGGTTAAAAGGTAACCCTGTAAGTTGGGGCTCTGATCGGATCGGAAGATCGGAGCGACACCCTCGCACCTTTGATCGTTATCGGATCAGAAGATCGACAAAAAAATCGACTGATTTTTTTTTTTTTTTTTTTTTTTTTTTAATGACGAAAATTGTCAAGTTTTGGGCTATCAAATGCTTAATAAATTCATGGCTGGGATTATTTTGTCATTAAGAGTTGTTGTAGACCATGTTTGTTGATATTTATTGCCTTTTAATGACTTTGAAATGCATAATGTTGGTCTAAGAGCAGAGGCAAAACATGCGGGCCGCCATCTTGGATTATAATGTAGGTATTTTTTTAAATTTAATGACGAAAATTTTAAAGTTTTGGCTATCAAATGCTTAAAAAAAATTCATGGCTGGGATTATTTTGTCATTTAGAGTTGTTGTAGACCATGTTTGTTGATATTAGTGCCTTTTCATGACTTTAAGTTAATAATATTGGTCTAAGAGCAGAGGCAAAACATGCGATTGGATCTTGGATTATAATGTAGGTATGCATTATAATCCAAGATGGCGGCCCACATGTTTTGCCTCTGCCCTGATGATGATGATTTGATCGGCGATCGGAAATTATATCCGATCACCCCTGATCAGATCGGTATCGGCGGCCGATCCGATGATCGTTTACAGGGTTATTAAAAGGCCATTTTTTTTTGGATGGTTTGTGTGTGCTCTATAGGCCATATTTTTCAAGGGATTTTGTTCAAATTTTCAACAAAGATGTATCTTGGTATAATCTACAAGCATATAGATTTTGGTGATGCTGCCCCAGTTTTCCGTCTTGTATAGGGTCAAGAGTTCATATTTTGGTGGGTGTCTACTGTCTAGTTTGCGCTCTGCAGATCATATTTCATGATCTTTCAAATTTGTATAGAGAATTAGAAATGTATCTTGTTACCAATCGACACTTCGGGTGAAGCTGCCCTCATTGTTCCGTCTTTTATATGGTCAAAGGTCAAATATGTCTTTAATGTGCTCTAACTGCCACATTTCTTGACAGATTTCTTTCAAATGTTGTATGGAGGTGTGTCTTAGTACAATCATCTACACCTTTTTAGTGTTTGGTGATGTTTTGACGAGCTGGCAGTCAAGGACAACCAAATTACTTTTGTTTTAGGCCTAAGTTTTGTGTTAACTTGTTTAATTATCATTATCATGTGATTTTTGCAGAGTTTGCAAATGCAAATTTGATTGCTCCATATGTATAATTTTATTGTGGATAATGGGAGCATGGGTTTGTGAAGTAAGTATAGAATAAGACCACTTCCCGTAGGCAATTTCTATGGCTAACAGGGCTCTCTTAAAGAGAAGGTTGAGTTCTGGGAACAGGTGAACAATAATTTGTGAGCATTAGACGAGGACAATAATATGGGTCCAACTCATTCGCAATTTAATTTGAATATGATTACTGAGGATTTTGTATTGAAACAGATTGATAATCTGAGTATAGATAAAGCAACTGATGAAGATCACATCAGCTGTAAACTTTTAAAGATGACGAAGAATGATAAATAAATAAATAAATAAATAAATAAATTATCATTGTTATTAAACATGTCTGGAAGAACATCAGATAACAAATGTTTCCTGAAAAGCATGGCTCTTCAAATGCCTTAATATTCTAAATATTTCATGTAACAGCATAAAAATCGGGACAGATTTTTACGCCAAATGTTCATGTAGTCCCATATACAGGCTTTAAATTTCAACATTTTTAGGGCAAGGCCACTTTTCTGTAGGGCACATTCCTATATTACAGCACAAATAAGAAGAATTGGAAAGGGCACAAAAAAATCATTGAGGCCAATCAAAGGGGCATCCATGGCCTTGGTGGCCTTGGATTAATTTAAGCCCTGCATATACATATTTCTGTGTATAGTGCTTGTAACTTTACCAAGACTGGTCCACATTTGTTATCATTTTGATGATTCCAGAACCTTGCAGTACACACCTTTTCTGATCGATTTCTCACCGTTTCTTTCACAATGCAATCGCATGACCAGAAATCAACTTTATCTTTAGCCCTATCTAGCCTGGGGGGGGGGGGGGGGGGGGGGGGTCTTCAGAAGCCCCCGCCCTACATTTTTCCTGATACATTTTTAACGCAAAAGAATCTTGCGCTGAAATGTATAACTTTTTCTTTCAAGTCTGGCGCATCTTTTGAAATATATTTTGAAATATATTTTTCAAAAAACGGACAAAGTCACATGACCTTTTGTCTGTGCATGTCAGCCCAAATCACTCATTTTTGTGATTTGTGTACAAAACATATGGAAATCTCATTTTTCCAAAAAAAAGATAAAACATTGGTTATTTTGTCTTGTTTATACTTATTTGGGGGGTCAAAATAGTTGAATTATAGTTAGAAATGAAATAAAACAACAAAATACATAAGTTAAAAAACAAAGAAATACATGAGAAATTATCAGAACAATAGATAACATAAGGAATAACCTGGCTCTTCCTTTTTTGTCTCGCCTGCGTAGCAAAAAAGCGAGACATTTAAGCGCCGCTTTTCCAGTGAAGGCGGGCAGCGACGGCGACGGCTGAAGTACAGGTCCTTAGTCAATGAAACTTGGACTTAAGGGTTATCAAGTATCCCTAATCATGTGAGTTGAATTTCAGGTCACAGAGTCAAAGGTCAACAGACTTAGACTATGTTATGGTATCATTATCGAAAACTTAACCTAAGGTTAAGTTTTTTAATTTTTGATATAATTTTGAAAGTATAAGTTCTTGGTCAATGAAACTTGGACTACAGGGTAATCAAGTATCCCCAATCATGTGAGTTGAGGTCAAAGGTCATTTTAGGTCTTTTTTGTGTTATCAACATCAAGATTTTGAATTTTTAGCATATTTCCAAAAGTGTTTGTTCAAATTCCATGAAAGTTGTACCCAAGGGTTATCAAGTATCACAAATCATATTTCACAAATCATATTTCACAAATTCCAGGTCACAAGGTCAAAGGTAATTTTAGGTCAGTAGCCTTGGATTATGTTTTCAAAACTTAATATGAGAATAAATGAATCAATTTTTGTTATTTGTTCATGATTCTTAATCAATATTCACTTCAAAATGCTGATTATATTCAGAGGATTTCATTTTTTGGGGCCTGCTAATGGGCCACCCTGCCTATAATAATGTTCCAACTTCAATTTTTAATCATAACAAATTGCGTAATGCAGGCGAGACCGCCGAGAGCGTTTCCCTTGTTTCAACTTAATGATGTTAGAAAGAATAGTTTGAAAATTCAAATCGTGCTGCCTCTCAGCAAGTATACCGCGCTAGAGGTCAATACGCATCAGCACGTTTTACTACATTACTAAAACCGTCTCAAAGGCTCAAAGACAAAACAAAAAATACACATCTAGTGCATGAAAATAATGGTTAAACAGAGTGAGAAATGCTCAAGATATGTCGAGAGCTTTGATAGTCTTTGATTTATCATATTTGAAAATTGCCATCAGGGGAGGATCAGGGGAGATCCATGCCAGCAGAAAACTACTAACATGGAACTGTGACAACAGGGCCAGATATACAGCATATACTTACCCCACAAATTTTAACCCCATTTTCCCCCCAACTGATGATCTGGCCCTGCATGTGAACATGGCGTCACATCAAGTACAAGTGCAGTCTCCTCCATATATACCTTACCAACAGATAAAGAGTTTTTAGGACAGTTAGTACAACTTATCCCCTCCTCACCAACATTTCTTGTGACTTATGCATAAACATGATGAGCTGATGAATAATCATTGCCTGAACAATTGATTTCCCACCATGCATCTTAATATATGCACAATCAGTGAAAGTTATAACAATCACTTTACAATGTGTGAATAGATAAAAGACTTTTCAGCTGTTCCTCTATTTAAATACTCAAAGAATGATACTGGCAAGACTTGGGCATGCATGATTTGGTAATGGCATTTAAATGTCTTGGAGTGTGCACAATAGAGCAAGGTGTTTCATTGTTATGGAAATCCTCTTTACATGTACAGTATGTGATTATTTGCTTTCTTTGCTTTCTTTGCTTTCCTGTATTAAAGCTCTTCTGTAAGCTCTTCTCTTTCTTCTGGATATTCTAACTATTTCCTTTGATAAATACGTCTTTGATTGTTGCCTGCAACACAAGTCAGTGTGAACTTCACTCGTGTTATCAATGCTCTCTTCATCAATAAATAGATTCCATGGAATAAATTCAATCTTTTTCTGTAAATCTACGACTATGAATGTGACGGACAAAGAAAGCGGACAAAATATACAGTTCCTTCACTGCTATTATGTAAAATGGTGAATATGCATGTGACACCAGTTCTACATATTTTTACATAATAGCAGTGAAGGGATGTTCCTTTGTCTACCTGAAGAACTGTATATTTTGTCCGCTTTCTTTGTCAGTCATATTCATAGTGTACGCTATCTGCTTTGTGAAATTGATGGAAAACCCTAGGAAGCAACTGTGGCACACGACTACAGTCTAATTCAAATGGAACCGAGTTATGAATATGGAAACCACTGCATAAAATAATGGATTTGAAAGAAGAAATATGTGGGTGATAAGAACAAAGGACTTATTTAGTCCATCACGGAAGGTAGCATTAGATGATGGGGGACGATAGCATACACCCAAAAAGAGCTTGCCTTTATTTCGTGGTAAACTAAATTGAATCCATAACTCGCAGCTGGGAATCTCAAACTCGGAGCCGTGAATCGTTTTCATGCAAAAAGTACACCTCCTCCGTTGTGATTGTGGTCTTTATGAAAGATTTGATATCGTTGTACATCTAAGATTTCACCATCGCAGGAATCGGAGTTCATCCATCTATTTTATCGGTGATATACTCATTTGCATATTAATGGTAATTCATGCAAATAAGGTAATAACATTCACATTTTTACCTATAAATCATATATTCTTCATATTTAAACATTAATTTTCACTACCGGTACATATATTCTTTAGACCATTGGGGATAGTAATACCAAAAGAAAATTGGAATAGCCAGGTTATTCCTTATGTATTTCCTTTTTTATTTTTATTTATGTATTTTATTGTTTTTGTTTTTTTATTTTAATTATAACTTAAATTCAACTATTTTGAACCCCAAAATAAACACCTAAGCTATAAACAAGAACAAATAACCAATGTTTTATCTCTTTTTTTGAAAAATGAGATTTCCATACATGTTTTGTACATAAATCATGAAATGAGCGATTTTGGACTGACATGCAAAGACAAAGGGTTGAGTGACTTTGTAACGGTAGGTACGATTTTCGAAAAATTTATTTCAAAAGATGCGCAAGGCTCAAAAGAAAAAGGCGTAAAATTTTAGCACAGATTCTTTAGCGTTGAAAAATCACAAAAAATGTAGAGGGGGGGGGGGGGCTAGATAGGGTGAGGGCTACCAGCATTTGCCGCATATTGTTTAAAGTTTTGCTAACTTCATTTTGTTTAAAGTGTGGTATTTGATGTAAAATGTTATTTAAGTTGGTGCTAGAATTTCTAGCACCCTTTATGACCACAAATTGAGAGTATTGTCTTTACCTTAGCTGTTGGTGAGGTGTCGTGATCCTTACCTTTTCACTATATTCTGAATCTTCTCCCCCTCTCCCCTCCTCCCCTCCCCCTCCTCCCCCTCCCCCTCCCTCCCCTCTCCATTTTCCATCTCTCTCTCTCACTCTCCCTCCTCTGTCTGTCTCTCTCCCTCTCCTTCCCCTTTCTCTTCCTTCCCCCTTTCTCTCTCACTCTCTTCTCTCTCTCTCTCTCTGTCCCTTCCCCTACTCTCCTCCCTCTCTCCCTTCTCTCTCACTCTCCCTCTCTATCTTGCTCTCTCTCTCTCTCTCTCTCTCTCTATCCAGCCTCTCCCCTTCCCCATCCCCCTCTCTCACTCTCCCTCTCTCTCTTACTCTCCCTCTCTCTCTTACTCTCCCTCTGTCTGTCTCTCTCCCTCTCCTTTCCCTTTCTCTTCCTTCCCCTTTCTCTCTCACTCTCTTCTCTCTCTCTCTCTCCCTTCCCCTACTCTCCTCCCTCTCTCCCTTCTCTCTCACTCTCCCTCTCTATCTTGCTCTCTCTCTCTCTCTCTCTCTCTCCCTCTCTCCCTCTCTCTCCCTCCCTATCTATCCAGCCTCTCCCCTTCCCCCTCTCTCACTCTCCCTCTCTGTCTGTCTCCCTCTCCTTCCCCTTTCTCTTCCTTCCCCTTTCTCTTCCTTCCCCCTTTCTCTCTCACTCTCTTCTCTCTCTCTCTCCCTCTCCCTCTCTCTCCTGTCTGTCTCTCTCCCTCTGTCTGTCTCTCTCCCTCTCTCTCTCTACCCAGCCTCTCCCCTTCTCCCTCTCACTCTCCCTCTCTCTCTCTTACTCTCCCTCCCTCTCTTACTCTCTCTCTCTCCCTCTCACTCTCCAGCCTCTCCTCCCCTTCCCCCCTCTCTCACTCTCCCTCCTCTCTCTCTTACTCTCCCTCTCCTTCCTCCCCCTTTCTCACTCTCACTCACTCTTTTCTCTTCTTTTCTCTCTTTATCCAGTACAGGCCATGCTGCAGAGGAAGAAACAGCTGAAGATTGCAGAAGAGAAGAAGATGAAGGTGGAGAAAGCTAAGGTCATTGAGGTCAAGGTCAACATGTGGATTGAGGAAAGAACAACTAAGGAGCAGGAATCGAGAAAAGCCAACTGGAGGCTAGAGAAGACAAAGAAACAATTTGAAGCAGAAGAGAAGAGGGGAGTCCAGGAGAAAGCAAAGGTGAGTGTTAAAGGGGAAGTCCACCCTGATATTAAGTTGCTTTTAATAAAAGCAGGAAAATGAGAGAAACGGGTCAGTGAAAGTTTGAGCAAAAACCGACTAGAAATAAGAAAGTTATATATTTTCAAAGTTGTCATCATTGAAACACAAATTGGCAACACTGTGACATATCTTGCAAGCTCCTCTCCAATTTCATAAACTTTCGTTTTCTTACTGATTGGTTATGGAAAATGTGATTCATACAGGGGTTGTATAAAAACATCTTTGAAATAATTGTATCCCTGGCAGTAAGCCGGCCGGGCACTTTGGATTCAGCAGCGTTACGCCGCCGCGTCATATTATTAGGTGGTCTGTCGATGACAGATCACCTATTGATTTTGTTAGAATTTTCTTTCTTTATTTATTTATTTATTTTTATTTCTTCCGTACACTTTTGTGTGCACACGTTTACTCCAAATCGACTTGGTCAATTTCCTTTGAATTTTTGTCAGTCATCAGGCCCTATAATATCAAGTTCCCGAAACCTTTTTCAAGTTCATGGGGTCATCGTGACGTCATCCAGGCGCCATTTTGTAAAAATCAGGTCATTATCATATCTCGATAACGAGTCGTCAAAAATAAACCATATTTGGTATACATCAACTTCAGGTCAAAGGTCAACTAAAAATGTCAACAAATTCCGCGCGCGCACCTCGACGCGCACGTACTCGCGCATCAAAATATAAAATTGCCCAAATTCGTTCCAAATTTTTTTTGCACACGTTTCAGGCCATTGTAAGCATTTTCAAAATTTTGCGCGTGAGCACTTATGTGTGCGCGTAACCGCGTGTACTGACATTTTACAACATAGAAACCCCAAATTTTCTGTATCAACGTGTTAACACTTTTTACCAAGCATTTTGATACCTTGTTCACCTTTTTCTGACCAGTAATAATGCAATGAGCGTCCGTCAAAGTTTACAGTACGCGCGGATCTGCGCTATCTATATCCACAATACATGTGCAAAAACATGCCTATACAAAATTCATTGTACCTCTTCAGAATGGATAGATACCCCCAATTTCTTTCATATTTATATAGATTATGAGTTGGAGATATGATTTCATGTCTCATTTGACCCTCAATTAACTCATTACGTCATCATAATGGCCTCCGAACTCAAAATTTTAATTTGCATATTATGACGTCTGCAGATTTTTAGAAGTTGATTGTATCACTGTAAATATTGATCAATTTTCTTTCAATTTTTGATATGTTCTACCTGAGAATATTCTCTACAAATGCAGTCAAAACAATATTTCATTTTGACAATGGTATCATGGCGTATTTTTGCGATCAAAGGAGGCATGTCAATTTTTCACATTTTCCGTGTATTCTCTATGGGACATGACTTTTTCTCAAAACTGGATTCTACATTCTCGTCTTTCGCGAGCAATATCTCCGTCGTTTTATCTTTGTTTATGCTGAGCTTTTGAGTATGTTGTAGCTGAGACAATAAGCTATCACAAGTGTGCCCTTTATTTTTTGATCAGATGCCGGGATCATGCTCATATTTCACTTACAAAGTGGGATTTGAGAATTCCATTTTTTCCGTTTACGTGTAATCTCTATAGGAAATGTTTTGGTATATCGGTAACGCACTTGACTTCCGACCTCGAGGTCCCTGGTTCGAGTCCGGGCGTCTCCAACAATTTTTTTCTTTACTTTTTTTTTTATTTTTGACCTTTCACTGTACCATCTCCTTTGAATATTAAAACACGTACCTATAACTTTTGGTGATGCTGCCCCCAGTGTTCCGTTTTCTATAGGTTAAAAGACCATATTTTTTTGGATGGTTTGTGTGTGCTCTATAGGCCACATTTTTCAAGGGATTTTGTTCAAATTTTCAACAAAGATGTATCTTGGTATAATCTATAAGCATATAGATTTTGGTGATGCTGCCCCCAGTTTTCCGTCTTGTATAGGTTAAAAGACCATATTTTTTTGGATGGTTTGTGTGTGCTCTATAGGCCACATTTTTCAAGGGATTTTGTTCAAATTTTCAACAAAGATGTATCTTGGTATAATCTATAAGCATATAGATTTTGGTGATGCTGCCCCCAGTTTTCCGTCTTGTATAGGGTCAAGAGTTCATATTTTGGTGGGTGTCTAGTTTGCGCTCTGCAGATCATATTTCATGATGGATTTCTTTCAAATTTTGTATAGAGAATTAGAAATGTATCTTGTTACCAATCGACAATTTGGGTGAAGCTGCCCTCGTTGTTCCGTCTTTTATATGGTCAAAGGTCAAATATGTCTTTAATGCGCTCTAACTGCCACATTTCTTGACAGATTTCTTTCAAATGTTGTATGGAGGTGTGTCTTAGTACAATCATCTACACCTTTTTAGTGTTTGGTGATGCTGCCACCTGTGTTCCGTCTGTTATAGGGTCATATTTTGGTGGCTGTCTTTTGTGCGCTCTAACCAGACCTGCCAACCAGTACGATATAGTCGTATTTAGTACGATTTTTAGAAGCAAATACGACAGTACGATTTTCCTTAATAAAATACGATTTTCAACAAAAACGAAAAAAAAAAAAAAAAAAAAATAATTTTTTATTTTATTTTTTAAATCAATATTTTGTGTGTGCGTCAGCCATTTTCAATGGCAAAATGTCCATTCTGTCCTGTAAAGTATCCTACAAGCATGTCACATCGGCAATTTGGGGATGTTCATTGGTTCATCGAACACACCAGTCATGACGAAATCATGCATATTCAACCAATGATCAATTAAAAAAATTTTTTCCTGTAGGTAGAAATTGTAAGAGCCATTAATCCGCGTAACAATCCGTGTTTATTTTCAAGAATACAACTTTGGTCAGTAAAATACAACTTTTGGGACTAAAGAATACAGTTTTTGAACTCCAGAGGTTGGCAGGTCTGTCTAACTGCCACATTTCTTGACAGATTTCTTTCAAATTTTCTACAGAGATGCATTATACTCTAATCTACACACATATTGTTTTGGTGATGCTGCTCCTAGTCTTGACAATAGTTTGAGCCACTAGTGGCGATCTCTACGTCATCCTTTTGTTTCAGGGAGAGGGGATCTTCATCCCTCCTTCGAACATAAGGATGACACAAAATCGCTGCCACTCATTCGCATTGCGCAGCAATATAGATTGCGATATTTCTAGTTATATTTAGGGTGACTGTATCATTGCAAATTTTCTTCAAGCCTATCTGCACTAGTTTGGCCAAGTGGGATTAGACCTCCCTGCGTGGTCACTGACAGGTGGTTATCAGCTCTAAATTGACATAGGAAAAAGGAACCAACTGTCACTGCGCATAGGGACTTTCATGGTGTTAGTGATATGCGCTATACAAATAACGTTCATAATTATTATTATCATTACTGCTTAGGCATTGTTTGCTATATAGAGGGTGTAAGTAGCTATGAGTAGTGCAGTGGGGCTTTAACAGAAAGTATAGATTTTGAAATTTTTAAGTACAGGGCAAATAGCAGGGGAGCTTGAAAATAAATGCAAAATATGGCATAGTGTTGCCAATTTGTTTTGCAACTTCTAAAAATTAATATCTTTCTCATTTTTAATCAAAATTTAATTGAAACAAGAGACCAACCTTTGTCATCTCCCATTGAAAGATGTCGCTTAAAATGAACCCTTGTGATTGTATTATCATTCTTTGTAGTCTTTAAAATAGTTTTGTTTAAATCTGTGAGATTCTGTTTTCTGCAATTGCCAGAATAAGAAATCACCTTTCATCTTCCCTTTACTTTGAAGGAGAACTATGGATAATGGAGGAGCAAGAAGAAGGCTGCAAAAGAGAGGAAGGAGAAGAAGGAGAAGGAAGAACAAAGAGCTGAAGAAGAAGCCGAAAGGAGGAGGAAAGAAGAGGCGGAAGATGCATACCTGAAGTGGAAAGAAGAGGCCAAGACGAGATCATTTCCCTTAGCTACTCAATTTGGCTTTCCTCAGGGCTCTGTCAAAGGTAGACCAGTCAAAGTTACTGCCCCTTTCACAAACCCAACTTAAAGGAGCATTATAGAAGTGTGTGAATGATCCACATCAAAACAATGCACATCAGTTTGGTGCTGCTATACAATACAAATAGTTGCCACAGCATAATCATTTATATTATAATTTGAGTAAGGAAATCCATTGATATTTAAAACTTTCAGGGTTTTGCACGCCTGAATGTTTGCACGAAATGTTTGCTTTAAAATGAGTTTTAGAACGTTCAGAACCTGATTTGAATGAACAGCATTTTGACATAGAAAAATAAAAAATGACAAAAAAAACAGTGCAATGTTTGTACCGAGCTTGCAATGGGCAGACACCATATAAGTCGCCATTTTGGTTGAGTTGCCAAGCAAAACAGCGTTACGTGCGTGTGTGTTCCATTCAAGTGCGAGTTTGGACAATTTATACATGAAAATATTAGTATTTTCTCGTGCTGAATGCAGCAAACATTGCTTTAAATAATGTTTAAATTAATATTAATGATGTTACAGTTGGGAAATACTTCCTGAAAATATCAAACATACCGGGAAGTGTTTTAAAAATATTTTCTCCCTCTACTTTTAAAGTTAAAGGGCAATCCAACCCTAAATAGTTGATTTGTAGGAAAGTAAAAATAAAATAAAAACAGAATGTCAAAAGTTTGAAATGAATCGGACCAATAGTAAGGAAGTTATGAATGTATGAAATACATGTATGACATCACTATTAAAGTCTATACGAATCTCAAATTGGTATTTCGGTCAGTGGATTGTGACCTACATGTAGGACTTGGATAACTCTCCCATTTGCTGTGTACAAAAATATCATTAATTTCTGTTTTTCTTGTAAGTACCTTCTCCCTTGGGGCACTACTCAAAATATAGTTTAGATAGCATATTTATTTATATATTTATTTATTTCTAATCTTTTGTCAGGGTAGCCCATTCACCGATAAGTAGTGGTCTTCCATGGGGCCCTGAACGAACAAGAACATATTTACATCACAAAAGCATAACGTTTATACAGAACAGTGAAAATAAAATTTCATAGTACATTAAGAAAGATATGATACAGCAATGATAGACGTGGCACAAAGGAATACTCGTTTAAAAATGAAACATTTTTTTATTGACCTAGTTCAACTGTAATGCCAATAGGAAAATATTGATTAAGTTACAATTATGTGAATAAATCATGTTAATATTACAGAATATGCATGTAGTGTATGTTCGGCTGAGCCATTCAAAAATGAATTGACAGAAGAAGCCGTTCTCATCGTATTATCTATTATTCCATTCAAATATAGAGGAAACAATTGGGCTACACTTATAGCAATCGGTGTGAAATCTAGGCACTCTTAAACATCCAGTCTATTTGCCTTGTATGATGCTCATGTACATCATTAGGATAGATTAAGCCTACCTGAAGGTAAGAAGGTGCTAAGTTATGAACGCATTTATATATCGTCATTATGCGACTTAACTCCTAACATCAAAAAATCCTCTATGTGGGCATGCCTTAAACCATTTTGCATGGCCCTACAGAGGAATTTTTCCTGTTGGAGACCGGGGGAAAATGCTATGAATTATTGATAATTTATTGCATTTTCTTTGTTTTTTTTGTATTTGTGAGGGCAGTGACGTACCCTAGCCCCCGCTACGTACAGTCATGATTCAGTGGCTAAACAATGGCCTCGTTACTGTGAGGCCCCAGAATAACAATCGTGTCGATCAGCTATAATAGCAAGCTTTCGATTTTAGGCACCCAACGTGAGCTACTATGCGTGATGTCATATTTATCCCTTGCGCATGCGTGAGCTTCTGGGCCCACGTTCCCTTCCATATCACCCGACAGGAGTCGGGGGCAATTTTCGTGAATCGCCGTCGCCGTAAAAAAAGGTCAACGTGAGTGTAGTTTCATCACCTTCTTTTATGTTATTCTTTGTTTTTATTATTCTATTATTTCCTCTTGCTATGTTTTGTTTCTTCTTCTATCACCTTTCCTTATGTTATTCTTTGTTTCTTCCTTCTATCACCTCTTATTTTATTCTTTGTTTTTATCATTCTATCTTTCCTTTTGTTATTCTTTGTTTCTTCCTTCTATCACCTTCTCTTATTTTATTCTTTGTTTTTATCATTCTATCATTTCCTCTTTCTATCTTTCCTTCTTCCTTCTATCACCTTCTCGTATTTTATTCTTTGTTTTTATCATTCTTTCAGTTCCTCTTTCTATCTTTCCTCATGTTATTCTTTGTTTCTTATTCCTTCTATCACCTTCTTTTATGTTATTCTTTGTTTCTTATTCCTTCTATCACCTTCTCTTTTGTTATTCTTTGTTTCTTCCTTGTATCACCTTCTCTTATGTTATTCTTTGTTTTTTATTCCTTCTATCACCTTCTCTTATGTTATTCTTTGTTTCTTCCTTCTACCACCTTCTCTTTTGTTATTCTTTGTTTCTTCCTTCTACCACTTTCTCTTTTGTTATTCTTTGTTTCTTCCTTCTACCACCTTCTCTTTTGTTATTCTTTGTTTCTTATTCCTTCTATCACCTTCTCTTATGTTATTCTTTGTTTCTTCCTTGTATCACCTTTTCTTATGTTATTCTTTGTTTCTTCCTTGTATCACCTTCTCTTTTGTTATTCTTTGTTTCTTATTCATTCTATCACCTTCTCTTATGTTATTCTTTGTTTCTTCCTTCTATCACCTTCTCTTTTGTTATTCTTCATTTTACCATTCTATCACTTTAACTTTCTGTCTTTCCTTATGTTATTCTTTGTTTTACCATTCTATCACTTTCTCTTTCCGTCTTTCCTTATGTTATTCTTTGTTTCTTCCTTCTATCACCTTCTCTTATGTTATTCTTTGTTTGTATCATTATATCACTTTCTCTTTCTGTCTCTCCTCATGTTATTCTTTGTATCAGATTTTCGTGCACTGTGAATTTATTACCTGTTTAATCACCTGATCTAAAAAAAATTGGTCACGTGACCGACGAAAGCACCGACATGAAAAATCGAAAGCACTGACGCGAAGGGAACGGACATGAGCTGCGCAACATCTCCACGCTCCAGTACCTCGTAGTAGCCGAGGTCGGGTGCCCAAATCAAAAGCTCGCTATTAGTGCCCTTTTGTGAGGCATTAATCCTCATTACTGTCTGTTATGACTTAAGGACGTAGGTCCCCTAGTTGATTAGCATAGTAGCACACACATGCTTTAGCAGGCACGTAAAACAAACACTCACAAATAAATATTCAATAGAATCTGAGAATGTATACTATTATTTAGATCTATTAGAAATAAATCATTGTGAAAATCAGTCCAAAAATATAATTTAAAAAAAAATTTAATAAAAAAAATAATTATTCCACCATTATAACCAACAGTGTATGTTGGAACACATAGGAAAGTAGTCCTGCACTACATCACATTGACATTACCGATTTAGCCAATTTGAAGTGCCCATATGTATAGTGATAACGACTTTCAAAAATTCATAAGTTTCTTATATTTAGTCAGATTTAATTGAAACTTTCATCAGTTTGCTTCTCTGATTTTCTGTTTTCTTTTAGATAAGTTGTCTATTTGGTGTGTGTCTATTGGGTTTTTACAGACGTGTATCAATCAGATGTGGTTATTTACGACCGACCTTTAACGTCACTATCCGAAAGACGCGAGTTAGTTTCAAACCTGCTTCCTCGGCTGAATCAGTTTGTAACTTCAATTGTTAAGCTGGATTACAGGGGCACGCCACAACGCCTTGGTGGGATTTCTCTTTAAATATTACATTCATTGGGTGTGCGGTGAATTGTTGTGCCTCCGTTACGAAGTAGCCAGAGGCATTATGTTTTTGGGTTGTCCGTCCGTCCATCCATACCTACGTCCCGTTCTCGTGATCGCGTTATCTCAAGAACCGATGAATGGATTCCTGCCAAACTTAAACCATGTATGTATCTGGCAGAGCTAATAAACTGATTAGATTTTTGGGTCAAAGGTCAAAGATCACAGGGCTCATTATGTATGCAAAAATAGCTTATGATCACATTATCATTATAACCGATGAACAGATTACCATCAAACTCTAAACCTGTATTTATCTTGCAGAGCCATTGAACTGATTAGATTTTAGGGTCATAAGATCAAAGGGTCATACATGTATATAAAAAAAATTGTAATAACGATATTCTGCGAACGTGTTAATGCACGGGTGGCCAACCCGCGGCCCGTGGTGCCCTTTTGGTGCGGTCCACGGATGATTAACATAGTAATAATAAAATGGCACATAACTGAAATGTGGCCCGCATAGCAGCGATGAGATAGGGCAAAACATATACTCTCAGCTATCTCTATTTCCATAATTTGTTTTCATCATTCACAACATATTGATTCGTTTTTTGGTTGATACAAAACTCCTCAAATTTCCTCTCATTTCCTCTCATTACATTACAATAACAACATTAACATCACTCGCCGTGTTAATCTCAGTTTGTAAATATACATGTTGTGAATCAAGAAATGCCATAATTGTCTTGAATCAATTACAACCCTTTTCTTTTGCCGTTGAATTTTCTCATGAATCTTAATCGTAAACTGGATAGTCTTCTTCTCTTTACACCACGTCAAATGAGATGTACAGTGTACAACTAATAAAGTAAGGATATTTTCTCTGCTGTTTCCTTGATTTTGTTTGAAATAACAACTATCATGGCACCGACAAGGAAGGTTCTGATCAAGGCAGAAACTTTAAATCAGATTGGTCTCTGAAGTATTGCTTCATAGAAGAGAAAGTTAAACCACCTTGCCTCGTTTGTCACCAAAGTAGGTAATGAACGTTAACAACATTGCAGAAAAGTGCAAGCCCCAGAAATCGCACTAAAAATGTAAGCCTGATTTTGTTGTTTGCTTGTTTATTTTTTCAAAATTGCAGGTGTGTACACGTATTGCGTGTAGTTGTGTGTGTGTGTGTATCGTTAGCTGTGGCCCGCGAGCTTTAAAAGGTTGGCCACCCGTGTGTTAATGGATTAATTACAATCAAATTTTCAAGTTCAAGTTTTATTTCCACATGTGGTTCATAAAAAACAAGTATACATGACCTACATGTTCAGACATATAAAAAATACACAATTAACAAACAATAATATTAAGAGAAACAAATAGCGAACAAAATCTAAAGTCCATAAACAAAGAACAACTAAATACATGTAGATATAAAAAAAACATGTGGGGGGGGGGGACAAACAAAGGCCAGGGGCCTGTCGAAGCTAATCCCTAGAACAATATTAGATATTTTGG